GTCCACGAGTACGCAACTGCGTAGAGAACGGTGTAGAACACCGGTGAGGATGAATACGAAGGCAAGTCCACCCGGCTGAGGCAGTTGAATAAGGTCGCCCTTAGCATCTTTTATTGGGGTTGTAGATGCTTTATGCCAGTAAGCCATCCAGACAAGTATAGTCCGCATGAGGGAGTTGTGTAGCAGGTAGACGGGGAAAGAGACGCGGCCGAGGAAATTGAAAACGGGGTTGGTTAGGACTTTCCTGGCGTTGCGGGAGAAAAAGATACCAACCATAAGGACTGAGGTGCCGATGGAAACCCAGTAACGAGAGATGTCGGTGTTGTTGGGGATGATTTGTTCCAAGAAATGTTTCATTATCCGTGACCAGTACATCCATTCTGCATTGTGCTGTGGGAAGCTCCATATGAAAAGACCCATGATAATAATGAGAGAAGGGACGGGATTGGGAAGAAAGGAGGTGGCACGAGAGCCAAGGTCGACCTGGAGCTGTGCGAGCATGAGACCTGCGAAAATATTTATTCCAACGATATCTAAATTTGGAAAGATTTATTAGTGTGGAGTTTAAATGGGTATAAAGTTTTAAGTTTACGATAGAGAAAGGGAAAAAGAGGAAGAAGAAACAGAGAGAACACTTACAATCTCCGATAGACCAGCACCAGACATAGAGGAAAAGGGTGACCAGGCGCCAATACCGTGTCTTGAGAAGCATCATGGCCAAAAGCGCTAAGTATATCCGGAACGAGCCTTGCAGGAAATATACAAGAGTCCAGTGAGTTCCATCGTATTCACCAGGACCAGCATTCCAATATAGGGTCAGGGCACGGAACAGTTTGAACAGAGCCTCCCCCCAGGACGAATCCGGTGGATGGGCCTGTACACGGATCCAGGTCGCATTGACCCGAGAGGCCATGTGAAACGCACCCATTTGTGCCAAGAACCAAGCGATGCAGATAGCGATGGAGGTTGGAAGAACCAGCCGGCCTGAGCGGGTGAAGGTGCTCCTAGCCAGATTGACCAGGGCCACGGAGGTGTTGTTGTTGCGGGAATTCTTGACGGGGTTGAGTGAGTTGACGAAGCCGGTGATGATGAAAAAGATAGCCACGGCACCACGGCCGCCCACGACCAGTCTGAAGAAGGGAAGCTGGAAGAGCAGAGGCCCGGCACCCTCTCTCGGGGCGGGGCTGTGTAGGTAGGGAACGAATGCGGTGCATATATGGCCGGTCACGACGATGAAGGACGCGACACCTCGGAGACCCTAGGAGTAGTATATATTATTAGATGGGACGTCCAAAACAGAGACATGGTTGGAGAGAGAAGACATACATCGACCCAGTTGTCCTCTCTCCTTTTGGGGCCGGCGGAGGCCATGGTGGTGGCCGCACTGGGCAGAATCGACCCGAGGGAAGTGAAGGGAAGCGATAGACGAGCGAACATAGTGGCGGAGAATATTTATATCATTAGAAGCACAATGTAAGAAGAGCTAGTTCTCTTCGGTTTCTATTTTCTATCAACAACAGTATATCTCGTCCGCGGTGTAACCAATCGACGCACCGAAGTACGGATTCCCAGGCGATCCCGGGGCGGCTCTAAGGGGGATACGAGACGAGGAAACCCAGAGAGGAAAAAGCGGTTAAAGATAGTAAATATAGTTAGTAAAGATAGTAAAGATAGTAAAGATAGTAAAACCACAGTAACGAGTGACCCAAGAACCCGCGGTAGATACTTGACCAGCAGGATACAGTGGGAAGGGAGGGGAGGAGTTGTTAAAGAGAGCGGAAGAGAGAGAGCGAGAGATAGACCAAGCATCGTCCGTTTGGGATCAAGCAAACGATGAGGTCGATGTCCGGTTCAGGGCAATGGGCTGAGACAAGCCCAGAGCAGGGGCTTGATGCCAAGCAGCCACCGGGCCAAAATCTGAGCAACTCGGTCCCAGGACGGCTAGAGACACCCTGGGATGGCAGTGGAGATGAGGATGCCCAAGCGAGTGGGCCGTGGTGGCTGGCAAATCATGGCCTCATAACCTCGGAGGTCATGATAGTCACATCCTCCTCATCCCCTTCCTCCTCCTCCCTCTCGGTGTGCGAGGAGAACAATATCTCCTGCGTACAAAGCTATCCGGGTCTGTTCCCACGGATCGGTCCCCAACTCAAAAATCCCTTGCGTTTCTTCCTTCCAGCCTAGCCCAAAACCACCCAAAACCACCCAAAATCCCCCAAAATCCCCCAAAATCCCCTTCCCCCCCAAACAGCCCCGGCTTCCCGATCTTCAACGCTAGGTGGCAGCATCAGCAGTGGAAGTATTCTGCGTATCACATTCCAGAGTGAGTCCTCCTGCACTACTCTGTACGGAGTACGGAGTACAGATTACAGAGTAGTGCTATTCCACGAAAGCAAGAAAGCCACTTTTGTCCATGAGTGCCCCTGCCCGCCAATCCCCTCTCATTTTTGCCATGTGGGATGGGATGCCTGTGTGTCTTTGCACGCGTGTACGGCGAATTCTGGGCGTGGTGTGGCGGAGTGCAAGAACACCGATGGAGGAAGTTCGCTCCAAGCCAGATAGAGACTGGTCAAGGCTAAGACGGTACTTGGCTGCCACCGGCGACAGACCATGCCAGCAAAACATGCAGGGACATGGGTATTGGCTGTGCACACAAAAATTGGCATCGCGGAAAGCGTGCCAATGAGGGACGGCCCGAAAAAGGGGCATCATCAGCTCTTGGATTTGGATTCGGCTTTGGGTTGAGTTGTAGAACTTGGAATATAACTAATACAAGAAAGATTCTCCAGAAAATGAAAAGAAAGAGGGGAAATTTCTTCATGAGCCAGTGAGAGCAGAGTGACGTTTTCCATTTCCATTTGCCCCTTTCAAATAGTATCTGTGGGTTTCCCTGAAATTTTCAATAGTATACCTATTTATTATTATTCACTACTCCTGGTGTCTAACCCTGTTTTGTGCATCCAGGAACCTTGTTGCACAATATCCATTGTCATCCGCAACATCCTAGTATGTAATGCAGGAGAGTCCCTCATATCCGACAAACGATTGGGTTACCATCTCGACAGGAAAAATACGGGTTGCAGTCAGATATTTCCGAGAATGAGAGAGGGGGAAAAAAAAGTCAAGGGCGTTGAAGATATACCTAGAAGGAATGAAATCGGTCAGGATAGAACGAATCATACTCCTGCATTATTTTTTTGACACGTTCGATTCCGACTTGAAGTCATCACTGCTAATCAGTTACGTTGGTCAGTTCCTCCTCCTTGTGCACAGATGTAAGTTTCGGAGAGAATGATAAACTTTCAACAAACCTTCCTGTTCCTGGAGTTTGTTTGTTCGTTGTACTGTACCAAAGTTCGTCGCATCTTAAGGTTGAGTTTCTGGCGCGCATCGGCGTCACGATTGAGTTTTCCACTGGTTTACACTGCAATTAGGCCCTTCATTCATTCTCACGCTGTTGTTTTCTTTCTTCCGATCGTTTTCTCCCTTCCATCGAGCGGTTGGGGGGGGGGGGTTCACCATCGCCTATGATATCCCTCCGTCGCATGGCAACTGCAGGAAACCCGTGCTCTCGGAGCAGCCCTCGAACATTTACCTCGTCTCGTCTTCCCTCACTGAATTGGCGTGTGGAAGAAGATGTGATGGCACTTTTTGCTGTTTTAAGCTGCCTGGACATGTTGACCTCGCAAAAAGGGTCATCCCGGCTATTACACTGGCATCTATCTAGAGCCCACCAGGATATCTGGCTGATCCATCATCGCCCGGTATAGTTTGCTCAGATGAAAACTGCCGTGGTGAACAGCCCAAAAGCCTCAGTGAGGGCCCGCGTGGCAGCACGTCCCGTGTCATCTTGACCTGCACGAGAAATTTTCAGATTTTCCTAGCAGCGTTTTCCAAAGAAAGGGAAAGCCCATTCAATGGCTGCGAAGATGGCCTACAGAGCATACCAGCGAGAGCTGAAAACGGCAATTATATTTAACTTTACAGTCCACGCACAACTCAATTGCAACCTAGCAGAACTGGCTTTGATCATAGCAGTTCCTGTGACGTTGAATGGGAAAGGAGTCAGCGGGTATGGTTCGACAGCGCGCCATTGCCATTAACAGAACATGTTGTTGCCTGGTTCTACTCTGGGTTCCCTTGTCCGGCCAAGCAAAGCACTTGCAATACACCTTCCGATTTGATCTCACACCATGGGCAAAACAAGCCTGGGCCCAAGTCAACTCCGTCTACATCCACGTTGGCCCTATCACAAGCAGCCGGTACGCTACTAGAAATAAAATAAATAAAGGGCATTCCATCATTGACCCCATGACGTCAAAAAACATGGAATAACAAAAGAAAAGAGGAAGAAAACGGGGACAAGACATTGTCAATACCCTCTGGGATGCAAGAGGTTTTATATGCCTTAAGGTTTCTCCTCCATATTTGTCTGGGTTTGGAAGCCAGTGGCGGAGGCTTGGCCTGGGAACAAGGGGGTCACATCCAGCAACTTCCCCCGAACGCGTGTTTTGCATTCGTCTCGTGGTCCGCTCACAAGTTCCCAATATACGTTGTGACAAATTCAGCCTTCTCAGTTTCAATGATGTATGACACAGCGTAAAGTGTGTTTCTATGTTTTAAAATCGTCATGCCGCCGGAGAGAAACGTGTACAAGTATCCTCTGGCTGAATATGACCCATCTTATTTCCTTTTTCTTTCTTTCTTTCTGCTCTTTTTATTGCTCCAGAAACTCTCAAGTAATCCTCCCACTTGCCATTTCTTGTTACCTGTACACCGTTCAAAATCAGCACTTTGTTTTTTGAACTCAGAATCCCACAAGCAACTATGTAGTTCAACCAAATCATCAAGCAACAGAACAGACCGTCGCATGTTGGAAAAGATGGAATGGAAGCTACCCTTTCCGCGGCTACCCAGACCGCGAAATAGTCGCGCCCGGGGATCTATCGCCAGTAGCGTTGGGCAGGCAGACGGCTACCCCGACGCTGTCTGCTGATACTGTAGAGTTGTACAGTACATTGGGCATGTAACTATTTAGTCACTGTTTTTGAGCCAAATAAAACGTTCTGCATGAACATATCTATTCACGCTCACGGCTCAGTTAAAGTAGTTAGCAGAAATGGTTAGAATCGGATTTGTGGGTCAAACAGTGGCATATTCACATCTCCTCCTTGAACCACTCATCTTCAAGAAGCCCTTTCCCAGTTGGTCTGTCCCTGGGGCCAAGTTTCACTATCCTTCAAAGACAAACGAACTCCTTGTCTTCTTTCGAGATCTCTTTCCGGCTAGCCAGTGAGAAAGAAAAGGTCTCAAATTCTCAGATGGCACCCTGTCCATGAGAGCTGAAAAGAATTGCCAATATCTCCTCGTCGGCAAGGTCCGCATATGCACATATGCGGGTGGATATGACCCGGAAAAGATGCGGTACTGTATAAGAATCTCTGGTTCAGAGTCTTCGTAACTTCGGGGGTTCTTTTGGGCTCGAAGACAAAAAAGAAGTCATCACGCCCCAGATCAGGGATATGAGCTTTCTTCAAAACATTAAGAATCACGGACAGAAACAAACTACTCTGTAGTGTGGAAGAAATACCATTGTCTCCCATAAGACCAAATATCGGTAGGTGGTCTCCACTGTTAACCCCAACAGTGTGCCAATTCCATCACTGCTCTTTGCAGTAAGGGGGGCTTATGTGCACTGTGCTCTCGAGATCTGCAAGTCGGACATCAGCAAAGCGTTGATTTTCACGGAGGAATTGTGAGTATAATGTATAATTCACCAAAACGTCATCCATTCAATATCGATGGGATTCAAAGCCCGTATGCACATAGCCAGCCAGCTCCAATGAAGAAACTTTCAACTTTCCAACGCCTCCCAGAACCCGCCTTTGAGACACAATTTGATTTTGATCTCCCTTTCCGTTAAGTTTCTTTTAGCATCTGAAGCTGCGAGTAAAATCATCTTCAAGATCTCTTAACGCAATTGTGGATGTATCTGATGGTTCGTTCAGCTATCTCGGCAATCAAACTCACACACGCAGGCATGAGGTTCGAGGTTGGAATTTCATCTGGGTATCTTTTATTCATTATCAATAGTTTACTTCCGCCAGTAGCGGGCGGATTTGATAACAACAGTGTGCCCTGCCCGGCTTTGTTGCTAGCTAGGAGAAACGCATATAATGTAAGCAGGGAAACGGCAAGAAGAAAGAATTCAAGGTACAGAGTGAAAAGGGTGACATACATGCCCCAACCAAATTGTCGCCGAGTTATTTGGTGAAGGTGTACATGTACACGGAGAGGAGATGTTGAAGCCATTATGGATAAAGAAGCTGAAGACTACTTGGGGCGATGAACACTCCTTTCGTAAATGAGCGACTGTATACTAACTAGTAATAGTATTTTCTATAAGAAAAATAATGGCGAAAAATGGGTCATTCCTGTGGATCAATTAGTTTCCCGCCAGATCGGCTTCAACAATGCTTCCCGATGGGGCCTCTGACAACTCACTGCTTCTTTATGTTCTATAGTTAGTTATCTTTCTCTATTTAGTACCATGAATGAGAGTAGGATTAATAATAATAATAATAACTATTCAGTGATGATATCTATTGATGATAAGATACTGCTAGTAGCTATCAAGGGCATGTGTCTGTCATGATATGGTTATTTTTGTTTGTAATGAAAGGCGTACTATGTATGTACTCCGTACTCCGTATGCAGCGCATAGTGGAAGTTGAAGGCAGTGGGCAATGGATGATCCCTATCTCACTTAAGGCCTGTGGACCCTGCAAAAGTCCACTGTGCAGGGTAAGCGTGTTTCATCACCAGCTGCCAAGCCCCCTATACGATTGGGGTGGGTTTGGAGGCTTGGCGCCTAAGCCTTGGCTGTCACCTTAGGCGCCAAGGCCCCATAACTTTAACTGGGAAGTTTCAGCGCCACTAGAGAGTGGCGCATGAATATTTGGTGGAGATAGCCAAAAAAAAAAAAAAAAAAAAAAAAGGAGAAGAAAAGAAAAGAGAAAAGAAATATGCCGTAAGAAAACAGAAAACAGAAACAAATACGTGAAGAAGTTCGAAGTCAGCTTGCTGCAAACACCACTTGCTTCAATTGCTAGCATTCTTCTTCTTATCAACAAAATAAACTCCCGAACCCAACAAACCAGATTCCTCTATCGCATCAGACCCGCTTTCTACACACGTAAAATTAAGAAGTGATATGATGTGGTGGTGGGGTTTGTTAGAAGCTGTGTAGTTGCACGGGATGCGATGCGGCACTCTGTGCATTTATCCAAGAATAACGTCAAAATATGTATAATATCGAGAATATTAAAAATCAAGCAACAAGAAAAGAATGAAATAAAAAACTCTGTAGATGCTTGAGGAAGAAAGGGGAGAGAATGCAAGATTGAGTAGATTATATCGATGGCGATGGAGAAAAACTCATCCAGTGAGTCATGGCAAAAGGAGAGGAAAAAGGGGGAATCTCCCTCACGTCGACGAACATTGGACATCCAGCCATTTCGTAAACGCAACAGATGGCTCCTCCACATGCCGCTGAAACACCTCCGCAACCCAGAGAGAGAGCATCACCGTTGCCAACCCACCAAGCGCAAACGTCAAGCCGTACTGGAACGTCGTCTGATATCCGAAGATCGCATACAGCCACGGCATGAGCGGGTATAGGAGGAATTTCAGCACGATGGTGTGCGTCAGGTAGAGCGAGAAGGAGAGGTTTCCGAGGTAGAGGAAGATGGGGCGAGTGAAGAACCGCTGGACGGATGGGAGGCCCGTGATGGCCCAGATGAGGATGACGGTGCCGACGGAGTCCCAGAAGCGGAAATACGCCGTGTACGTGCGCGGTGCGTACCATTCGAGCACGGCGAATGACCATGCATTCCAGATATCTGCAGCGGGGACACTTAGGATCCACAGGCCCAGGATCATGCTGGCGACCATGAACCATGTCGGCGGGGTGAAGTGGGCGACGGATCTGAATTTTGTATCTGCGATTTCGTGCTTGGGAAGCTGGCCCTCGGCGGCATCATCTTTGATGATGTCTAGCTCGGCAATGAAGGATCCGGCGAGGAAGAGGAAGACATCCCATTTCTCGAAGGTGAGGAAGTAGAGGGAGAGGAGGCCGTTGAAGATTAGGCGTGTCTTGCTGGAACATCTTGCGAAAGCGGCGTGAATGAGGAAGAGGACCATCGAGCAGCGGAATTCTACCGGGATGGTCCAGAGCTGATAGGCGTATGGCGAGTTTTGGCTGAAGTTTTCCCAATCAAAGGGCCATTAAGAGGGGAGGGATGGTCTTGCACCAGAGCCAGAGATGGCGTATAAAGGTCGATTCCTGCGGGGCCATGTCGAAGGTGCGGCGTGGCATGTTGCCATCTTCGAACTTGGCGACTGCGGGGAAAAGATTGAAGCTCACCATGAACATGGGAATAAACGTGGCGATGATGGAGGGGATATATAGCCGGAACAGACGCCGAAAGATCTTGGAGCTCAGGTCCAGCTGCAAGGAGCCCCAGGATTGGCTACGGCATTTTTTGATGGTGCCGAGAGAAAGGACGTAACCCGAGATAAAGAAAAAGATGGTTGGTTGCCCGCTGTAGAGAAGACGGAAAAAGGGCAATTGGAAGATCGAATCGCGGCCCTCGGACCCATTGTAGGCATATGAGCTGTTCGGAAAGAACCCCAGTACCATATGCAACACCACCACGCCCAGTGCAGCGAGGCCACGGATGCCATCCAAATAAGAGGTTTTCCCGACCGGCCTCGACGGTTTCCTTGATCCAGGGTCTATTCTACACTGGATGATGGCTGGTAGGAGGCCGAAAGTGCTGGAGACGAAAGCCCTTGAACGGGGTGATTGGAGCATCACCATATCTCTAGACCAGAGTTAGATATAACGGGGAAGAGATGTCAGTCAAGTAGACAAGCGTTCCTCGAAGGGAATGGGGCGAAGGAGTAGTGGGATAAGGAATCATTGGAAGCAAAAATTGAACATAATGTCGAACTGCACGATGGAAACTCGAACGCCCTCAAAAAGAATGGAAAAGAAACAGAAAAAAAAACATCACCACGTTAAATGAGGAATTCAGATGCCAATCTCTCGGTTAAGGGGCCAAACTGTCACAACGACGCTTCTTTTTAAACTTAACTTTTTCGATTGATCTCGGCCAGTGGCGAGTGGGCCGCATGGTTGCAGAAACGAAACGGATCTTGCGCCGTAACAAATCATTGACCTGGTAAACGTGCTATCCAAAGGGGGCCGATTCTTGGAGCAGCCGAGGCTACGGATCTTCAGCGGCTGTTAAAAAGTAGGGGCCACAGAATAGTGTAGGTCTGTTGGCTCAGGGGGTCAGGCTATTTTGCTTTGTGGTACGTCGAGGACTCCTACAACTCCAGAGACTGCGCCCTAATCGACTCCATTTAAGCGTACAATCGGGGGTGAGATGATCTAGCGATAGTTAAAGACTTCAGTTAAGCTACAGGATGCACCGTAGAGATGACTTACAGTATCTACGCATAGAAAGTTTCCTAGTGCAAACACCTGGTAGTCAACCAGTTGTTGCTGGGACGAACCAAGGGCGCACGATTCCGAGATTGAGGATGGAAGAAAGTTAGAACATAGAAGTTAACGAAGAAATAAAATAAAAGAAAACAGAGCAGAGGGCGGAAGAAGGATAGGAGTCGAAATACGATGGAAGCTCTCGGCCACACAACCCCACAGTGGCAAAAGGCTCGAAGTTGCTCCTGGTGATCTGTCATGTTCTTGGGATGCGCCTAGGATCATAATTACCATTATAATCATCCGTAATTCGAGATGGTTCTTCTTATATATCATTCCACAAAGTCTTCCCCTTTCAGGCAAAATGAATTAGGGCTTCTGACTTAGCCAACCTCAACCTCCGCCGAACCTCCTATCCTGTCTGTCTGCGACATCAACTGCTATGTCGAGGGTCCAAATGCCCCAGAGTCCCTGGCTTCTGCGATAATCCTCCCCGCCGATGGTTGTTTCGGCTGCCCAGCCGCTGGCCCCGGCCGCTCCGTCGCCCGCTTTGAGATCTTGGGATTCCCCACACGCCGCCCCCTTTTTTCTCTTTCCCTGTTCTTTCCCGTGAGCGTCTGTCTCTCTTTGACGGGCGGAGGAGCTCCTAGTTTCCTCTCCGACTCAAGTCACGATGGTTCAAGGCCTCCGCTATCGACGCGGCTTCCCGCTCGCCCTCATCGCTCTCTTCTTGTACTTCACCCTCAGTCGAATATCCTCCCCGTCCTCTTCGTCCACACAGCCAGCAGACCCTCGTTATCTCCCGATATCAGGTACCCCCACGACTACAGACCATGGCAAGTTTTGGATAGCCTTCCATGAGATCCTCAAAGAGGCTGAACCACGTTGTAAGTCGCCGAAGCGAATAGAAGACCACCCGGCTGCGATCGGCTTCAAGCCCGACGAGGCTGATCATGTCACTCTACCGGAACATATCATCGTAGAGCCTGAAGATAAAGAGATATTAAAAACTGCGCACTCCCGATTTACCACCTTGTTATCGAGCCCGACTGCTCCAAAACTACGCTACACCTCTGGCACCAGAGGCATCGTCTCAACCGCGGGTGGCCATTACCTCCCGGTCCTGGTCACCTCCTTGCATATGCTCCGGGAAACAGGCTCAACTCTTCCCGTCGAAGTCTTCGTGGCGGACAAAAGTGAATACGATGAATACGTCTGTGGCGTGGTACTGCCCTCGCTGAATGCGAAATGTGTGATCTTGGCAGATATTCTGGACTTCTCACCGCTGGACGAGGGCCTGAAGAAATATCAGTTCAAAATCTTTTCCCTCCTCTTTTCATCTTTCGAGCAGGTGCTATTCCTCGATGCCGATTCATTCCCCATACACAACCCTGGAGAGTTATTCGATTCAGAGCCATTCCTTTCAACGGGCCTGGTTACCTGGCCCGACTTTTGGCAGGTGACTTATCACCCGTCCTTTTTCTACGTTTCGTCCCAACAAGTCCCGACAGGATTCCGCCATGCATCCACTGAATCAGGCCAGCTGCTGGTCTCCAAGAATTCCCACGCGCAAATGCTTTTGCTATCGGCCTATTACAACTTCTACGGCCCGTCGCATTACTACCCATTACTATCCCAAGGCCACCCTGGCGAAGGAGATAAGGAAACACTCGTCGCCCCCGCCATGATTCTGCATCTTCCATTTTACGCCGTTTCCACGGGACCGGCCGTCTTCGGCTATCGCAAACCGGACGGCGGGTGGGAGGGCGGCGTGATCCTACAAACAAATCCGATCTGGGACTCGCGCCTCCCAGAGGGCGAAGTGTACGGCTGGGGTGGGAAGCCTAACGCCCCTCCAGAATCCTTTATGACATGCCATGCCAACCTGCCCAAGCTGGACCCCATCAGCGTGTTCGGGGAAAAGGGACTCGCGTGGAACGCTGAAGGCGACCCGCAGCGAATGTGGGGCCCTAAGCATGAAATGATTAAGAAAGTCGGGTTTGACATCGAGCGCAGGCTCTGGGGCGGATTGCAGAAGACCGCGTGTGGGCTTGAAGGCAAGTTCGTGCCCTGGAATGACAAACCGAAATTGTGCGGGAAGATTGAAGACTTCATGAAGTACATGGCGAATAAATAAAGGATTGGATTTTTATTTGTATATTTTTATTTAATACTTTTATAATTTTTTATTTTCTCTTTTTATTTATATATATCTATATCTATATATATATATATTTGAATTATCGTGTCTGTTTCGCCCGCGGCCGGAATCCATCCAAATCAGTCGAGTTCCGTCCAACCATCCTACAGGCGGAAAATGCACAAAGGGAATTTCCGTCGCAGTTGCTTCTCAAATACCCGAACGGACTACGATGCAATTCTCACCTTTTATTCTCCTGCGAAGCTCGCATGACTCCAGCCTAGAAGTGGAGGAACAATTTTTTGTCACCATCTCACAAGCCAAATGGGATAGACCTCCCATCTACCGCGCAGTGTATGCTGGACAGAGGCTGCGTGCTCTACCGATGAGCGGTTCCATACGAGGTCAACAGACTGGCATGCCCGACAGCATCAATTGTACAGTGCATGTGCAATCTACACATTACCCTTCCAGCATTAACCATTGGGTATGGACGCCAGCAATCACGGGCGGCAAGGCAAAGAGCGC